TGATGAAGATGATGATGAAGATGATGATGAAGATGATGGTGATGATGACGGCTCAGATTTCCACTCGTTCTTTGATTAAAGGACAAAATGCGTCAAATTCCTACAAAACAAAAACCAGTTTGGAGACATTTGGTGTTTTGGAGGCGGAGACAGTTTCTCTGGAGCAGAATTGGTCTGAAGCACCAGACGTGTGATTCACGACGACCTCTCGATTAATATAAGGGCTGAAAGACGGTCAGGGAAGGCAGACGCTCAGCTTCCATACGACGTGTTCATCAGAGTGTCGTCGTCTCACTGTCACGTGCTCGTGTTTCTGCTTTGACTGTGCATGTGAGCTGGACTGTGGACGGACCCAGAACAGCTGACGTCTCCACTTGTAAAGAAACATGGGACAAAAACAAAGTTCTTTACACACGTCCAGAGTTTGATCTGAAAATCGTTTTGTTTCATGTTTTAACAACTTTTCATGAACATGGAGATGAACGTGATGAAGGTAAATATCATGTTCATGATCTGGAGACATTGTGAATCTCCTTCACTTCTTCTATTTCGGCCTAATTCGTTTTTATTAATGTTTCTTTTCATCTGTGAACACGAACTAAATGTTTGGGTTTCTCTTCTCGCTGATGCAGCTTCATTTTTTAGGAGAAAAATCATTTCATTTCTCAACAGAAGTTTTAAATATAAGCGGACGTTCAAGAACTTTGTTTAAATGATACAGTACTACTACAAACTAAAAGTATTTTTACACATTTCAGTCTGAAGTATTTTTTCACTTCACTTTTCTGGTTTATCTTCCTCAGTGGGGTCACGACCCGAGTAACACAAACGTTAATGAGATCATCAGGTTCATTAAAGTGACAAACTGTGAAGTGTTTATTCATGACGAGAGTCCTGGCTGAGTGTTGCATTGTGGGATGGGCCAAGAGGACGCAGTGATGTCACAGACTTAAAGGAGACAGAGCAGCCATTGAGACGAAGCAGCGAACAGACTCCTGTTGTCCCTCAGAGAGACAACGGGACACTTTCTGAACGGCTGCATGATGCATTAACTCTGTGTTCAGCACTAATGTGCCTCTTTACTAATGGAGCACCATGTTCTGTCCCAACCTATCGCCCCCTGGTGTCTGTGTTTTCCTTATTTTTCTGGTTTGTGTTTGTGTTTGTGTTTTTTTGATTTGAACCCTTCAGGCGAAGAAGCCTCTTTGCCTTCCTTACCCTCCTGCCATCCTGCCTTTGGACTGACTATCTTTTGGCTTTTTATATTAATCCTTGGTAAGTAAGCACCTGCTGGTCAGAAACACTGCACGTCAGGGGCATGTCGAAGCAGAGACAATGATCCCAGACATCGTTTCACTCTGCGTCTGAACCAAGGTGACGAGCCGACAGACTCTCGATCCACGATTTAATCACGAGTCTGGTTTTATTCCATTTGTTTCACCTTTTCAACCAATCCCATGAAAAGCGTCGCCGTGTTCACTGATGTGGTGTCCCTCAGGGTTCGTGTCTGGCTCCTCCTCTTGATCTAACATGTATTCACATAGCATTTAATAGTTTCTCTATTTGTATTTTGAAAACATCTGTTTTTGTTGAGCCGTCCCTCCGACCTGACTCTAAAACATCTGTCACGCTTCTTCCTGCTTTGCTTCACATTGAGTCATAACTCGTGTTATTTATATTTGTTGACGACAGTCACAACATGGTTAATATACTAACTACAGACTTAACAAAATATAAATGTGATGACATTGATCTCCTGCTGGACCATCTGTCACTTATCATAAATGAAATCAGCTCTATGTCCCACAAGACTCCATGTTGGAGCTTCGATCCGTTTGTACGTTACAATAATGACAGAAAATCATTTCACTGAGTGTGAAGAATCCAACATGTTTAAAAAGATGTTTTGCTTTAAGCTGGACTGAAAACTACATATTACAAAAAGATACATGCAGAAGTTCAGTTTTAAATGATGATGTTATCACATATGTAGTAAATATATATATATATATATTTATATCTTCAGCTCATGTGAGCACGTACAGAAACAGCATCATGTAGTAGAATGGAATCTTGAGCTCTGGAGTTCCTCAGGGATCCATTCATGAGAATGACCCGATGTTTGTAAACATCATTGTCACTGAAACGTAAACAAACACTTTGAGTTGTGAAGATAAAAATCCGACGTGAGTTTCACGGAACACGAGGGTTCAGAGTCGGAGCCTTGTGGAACACCAGATTAAAAAAGGATCTTCTTGTATAACAGGTTTTTAAATGACTCACTGAACTCAATGTTCAGAAAAACTCATTCAGAAGTTTCTGTGTTAACGTTTGTTTCTAAACGGAGGCTTCGTGCGGACGTTCAGTTTGATCAGATCATGGGATTTGTTGACAAAGTGGAAACTGACGACTAAAACCAGACTTTTATTTTGACATTTGAAATACAATAAAAAGTAATGTTGTTTGAGAACAGGAAGTGAGCAGATGATTTTTCGGACATGTTGAACTTTGTCTTGCGATCCTGTGTCTGTGGTTCAAATCTAAAGTTACACTGAGTTTGTGCGATGTAGCATGATGCTAACTGTCCATGCTAACCGGCTTTGCTGCGTGTCGGGTGTCTGCACGTGTGTCTCATTATTTCAGATTTAACGATGTAGAATAGTGACTGTGTCGGTTCTATGTGTCATACGTGTTAGAAGCAGATGTTATGTTAGTTGCATGTTACATGTTGAACTTTTTCTCTCTGCTTGTTTCAAACTGAATCCAAATATCCACAGTGGATGTTTTAAATAAAAGAACTATTTGAAACATCAACTGTGAAGAAACATTTGACTTCAGTCAGAGTTTATTTAACTGACTGAAGAATGTGAAGCATGAAATATAAAATCTATAAACTAGTTTAAAAAAGCTGCATGTTGGATTCATGAAACTGTAGTAATGTAGAAATCTATTCACTGAGTAGCTGTTGTAGTGACAGAGTGTATTCATGTGTGTATTTTATAGGAGCAAGACGGCTTTAAAGAAACGGAAGCTAACGAGGTAACATGACTAAGTGTGTGTGTCTGTGTGTGTGTCTGTGTGTGTGTGTGTGT